TAGAATCAGGATCCTGAAGAAAACAACGAAAGCCAAAATACAAGCGTCAAACATCAAGAAAGACCAACAGTTAAATCTCATTCCACGAAAAAAGTCATCAATATGTCCAAAATTTTACGGTTTACCTAAAGTACATAAGGCAGAGCTACCACTACGACCAATAATCAGCTCTATCGGATCACCGTTACAATCACTGGCAAAATTTCTAGCTGACCAGCTACAACCATGTGCGGAGGAAGAGGATTCTTACTTCAAGAACGCAAGCCACTTTATCGACCGTATCAAGGACGATATTATCGAACCTGAACACTTATTAGTGAGCTTTAATGTAATCTGCTGTAATCAAAGATGCTGCTAATAGAAGTTTCAGTAAAACAGTTGCGTGAGCAGTTAGAAGAACTTGATGAAGCCTGTAACGGGTCCAAGAAGATCTTTTAAGAACGACTGAAGGATGTTCTCAACAAGAATGGAGATGACCCAGAGACGTTTCAGTCAGCAGAAGAAACAGTTTTAACGAAAATAAGAAATGTTTCTCAAATCATCGAAGAAACTTCTAGAAAGAATGATGAGAAATTTGAAAATGTTTCTCTAATTATTGTGGAAACTTCCAGAAAAAATTACGAGAAATTCGAAAAATATTTATAGAAGATTCGACGAGACTTTTTAAATAATTAAAGAAATATGTAGTCAGAACAATAAGAAATTTGAAGAAGTTTCTAGAACATTTGATAAGGTAGAAAAGAAGATCAAACAGTTAGAGAGCATGACAATCAATTCGAAATTGCTACCAGCAGTAGTTTCAGATCATGTAGTAAAAGAAGAATCACCGAGAGACGAAACGACACATCATATGAGATTCAAATTGCCACCATTTGATGGAAAGTCTTCTTGCTCCATATACCTTAGACAATTCGAAGCTATTGCGACAGCCAATCATTGGATAGAACAAGAAAAGGTTGTTTCCTTGACTGCTGCTTTACGAGGCGATGCTGCGGATATTACAAGATCGATTCCTAAGGGCCAAGAAAAATATTACCAGACCTTATTCACTCGACTAGACAAACGTTACGGAGATGCCCATCAACAAGTTTACAATGCACCACTAAGAAGTAGAATTCAAGGAGCAAGTAAAAATTTGCAAGAGTTTGAAGCAGATGTTGCTCGTATAGTGCGGTTGTCTTATCCGGAGGTACTAGACAACATTTTTGAAGAAATTGCTGTAGATACCTTCGTCAATCGATTGAAAGAAAGTGAATTACAGAAAGCTTTACGACTGGCAAGAACGAAAGTTCTAGATGAAGCGGTCGCTATTGCCTTGGAAAATGAAACAGCTAGTCAAACTTCACGGAGCCATCGAGTAAGAACCATTGAAGAAGGCAACGAACCAAACGATGAACGTCTGAAGAAAATGGTACGAAAAGTAGTTCGTAATACGATACCGAAAATATGCGAGCCCAGATGTTAAAATTGTGGTAATGTAGGCCAAATTCACCGTAATTGCAAGAAAATGATACAACAATTGGAAAACTGTTGGAAAAGTCATATCAATAATAAATATAGAACGTTTTTGGTAGATACAGTTGCAACAAGAACTATTGCACGTCCAGAAGTAATAAAACGCCATATTAAATTATCGCCCTCAACAGCAAGGCTTAGAACAGCAACGGGTGAACTAATTAATACATATGGCGAGGCTAATATGTCAGTATCCATTAGCCAGACCACAGTGAAACAGAGAATATTAATTGCAGAAATCTTCGACGAGTTCATATTGGGGATGAATTTACTAAGAAAAATTGGGGCTATATTGAATGTCAAAAATGAAGTTCTCGAGGTTATTGGTGAAGAGTTGCCGTTTTATGAAGACAATGATGATGTCATTAGCTTAGTAACTTCTTGTGACATAACAATACTCGGTAATAGGGAGAAAATTCTGATGACTAGACTTGATGGTCACTGCCGAGAGGGAAGTTTAAGGATGGTCGAAGATGTGAATAATGCCGAGTTCCTTACGGCAAAAGCTTTGGTGAGAGTTCGAGATGTCGTTCCTGTAAGAGTAATGGATTTAAAGGGAACTGCTATTAAGTTAGGTAGAAGAACCTTGACCAGACAGTGTCTTCCCGTATCTTCGATTTGTTCTATGAATACTAATGAGAAATCATGGAAATCTAAGTATCCAAACGAGCTTGTTGAGATGGTGATTAAAACGTGCCAAGATCTTCATGATGAACGAACGAAAAAAGTGGAGTCTATGCTGATAGAATTTTATGATGTTTTTGCCATTGATAAGAAGGATAAGGGCAAAACAAGCATAGCAACGCAAACAATTAATACCGGAGATGCTTAGCCAATCAGACAACAACCTAGACGACTTCCATTTGCGAAAAGAGATGAAGCTAAAGACATTATCAAAGATATGAACAAACAAGGGATAATTGAACCATCAAACAGTCCATGGATATCACCAGTAGTTCTAATAGAAAGGAAGTAAAAAAAAAGAAGGTGCAACGAGTTTTTGTATTGACTACCGTCAGTTCAATGTGGTAACTAAGAAATATAGTTATCCTTTGCCCAGAATAGACTATACCTTGGATACTCTCTCTAGTTCTCGTTGGTTCTCCACACTCGATCTAAAAAATGGATATTGGCAAGTAGACATGGAGCCAACTAATCGGGAGAAAACCGCATTCTCTATACGATCAGGGCTTTGGCAGATCACGGTTATGCCTTTGCCACATTTGAAAGATTAATAGAGGCAGTTTTAAGGGTCTAACATGGAAAACATGCCTGGTTTATTTGAATGACGTCATTGTGGTGGAAAGATCCTTCGATGAACATGCCAACAATCTGCCAGAAGTCTTTCAATGATTGTGGACAGTGCATTTGAAGTTATGTCCGAAGAAATGTCACATGTTTCGACGAGAAGTAAAATACTTGGGACATATTGTAGCGAAATGGTGTAACAGCTGATCCTGAAAAACTTGCAGCCATTAAGGATTGGTCAGTACCAAGAGATAAACACAAAATTAGAAGTTTCCTTGATCTATGTATATATTACCGACGTTTTGTCAAAGGATTTGCCAACATTTCCAATCCATTAACAAAGTTAACAGAAGAAGGCACAGAATATACATGGAACAATTACAAATGGCTCTGCTCAGTGCACCGATTTTAAGCTACCCTAGGCAGGCAGAATGGGAGCTGTTCTCTCCCAAATCCAAGATGGACAGGAGAAAGTCATCGTTTACTTCATCAAAGTCTTGTCGAAACCAGAAAGAAACTATTGCGTTACTAGGAGAGAATTGCTAGGCGTAGTAAAGGCTTGCGAGCATTTGAGAGTAAGTTTAAAAGAGTAAGTAGTAAAAAACGTACTTTGAGAGTAAGTTATTACTCTGGAGAGTCGTTCTTACTCTCCAGAGTAAGAACGACTTTGCCCCGTGAGACGAACCACCGTCATTAATGATCAATGGCAGCCTCAACAGCTACAAGACGCCCAAGCAGATCATCCATGTATGAAAAGAGTGTTGGATTGGATGCATCGAAGTAAGAGACCTACTTGGAAAGAAAATTAGTGCATGTAGCCTAGAAGTCAAGTCATACTGGAGCCAATGGAATTGCCTAGTACTAAAAGATGATCTTCTGTATAGAAACTTTGAGAACGATGATGGTAAAGAATCTAAGTTTCAGTTGATTGTACCTAAAAGTAAAGTCAGAAATATTGCGTCAGTTGCATGACGGTGCATTAAGTGGACACTTTGATATTACGAAGACTCTGCAAAAGGTTCGAGAACAATTCTATTGGGTGAACTGTATAGATGAAGTAAGAAGAAGAAGGTGTCGGAAATGTGAACTGTGTGCAACCAGTAATGTTCCAGTCGGTAAAAAGTGGGCACCCATGAAACAGTAAAATGTAGGTAGTCCTATGCAAAGAGCACTAATCGATATTGCAGATCCATTTCCAGAAATGGACGATGGAAATAAATCTTTCGTCGTAAACATGCATGATTTTACGAAATGGACCGAGGCCTATTCTTTAGCCGATTTGGTGTTCCGTTGGAGATCCACTCCGACCAAGGGCGAAATTGAGTCAACCCTCTTCCAAAACGTTTGTAAATTGATTGGTGTCAATAAGACCAGAACGACACCTTTGCATTATCAATCAGATGGAATGGCCGATAGGATGAATCGAACGATGGGTAAACACCTGTCCAAAGTTGTATCAGAACATCAAAGAGATTGGGACCAGCATATTCATTTATTCCTAATAGCCTATCACTTGGTCCTGAATGGAACTACAGGCCAGATTCCAACTTGCCTGATGTTACAACTTACAGCTTGCAACATGTTGCAAGCGAAGAATATATTGAATCTCTGAGTTATCTATCTAATCTGAGTTAGGATTTGATTAGTTGTTTATTTTGTATTCAGTCAGAGGCCTTATTTACGAAAAAAGTGTAAACATGAAATTTAATTACATAATGTAATGTTTTATAAAATAAAGTGAATTAAGTGCTTATTGAAAATGGCACATTTGCCGAAACGTTTAAGCAATAATTAAATAGTTTTATTTACAACAGAGAGGACCGACAAACCCAGGAAATAAAAAGTTAATTAAGTGCTTATTGAAAATGGCAACTTTGCGTATATACATATACATACATATTTTAAATATAAATGGAGAAAAAGGCTGATTTCAAAACTTGTGACAGTAATACAAACTTTTTATAGCTGATAAATCTAGAAATTATTAATGATAATGAGGTGATTGAACTTTATCATAAATATGTTTACATTTACCCAATTAATAAATATACTTTATTAGCTATTATTTACTAAGTTGTTAAAATTTCTACCTGAAGACGTTTATCCAAATTTATAATTATTTTATTCTTAACAAGTAACGGAGCTTTATTCGTTCTTAGAAGTAACCTTTACGAAGGACATCCTTTATACCTAAATAAACCACTCGCTAACAACTGATAAACAATATTCCAGGCAGTGGTAGCGCTAGCGCTAGTCAACAATTGACTGCAGTGTTGTGTGAGTGGTGCCGGTTCCTTGATTTTTAATATTTTTGCGTTTTCTCAATTTTTTACGAATATGACAAATTCCGAACAGAAAGTGCCTTGCTTTTTAGTATTAGAGGATGGAACTATACTGCCAGGGGAGTCGTTTGGAGCCCAAAAAGCTGTAGAAGGCGAAGTTGGTATGTGTATTTATACACGTGTTGTTTTACTCGTTTTAAAGGTTATGTTTTTGTAATGTTATTATTCAGTCGCATTTTGATTTATTATTACTGGAGTAATACTTCTAATATGTGTTTGATATATTCCTGTACATAGCAGTTTAAGAGTGTCCTATAAAAAAAAACAATAAGATTAGTATTTTTGTATAGGTACTTAGTTGACACAAGTGTTAAAAATTTATTTAGACTGCACTGTCCTCTGCTGCAATTCAACCGGTAATATGAGAATAGTGCGCATTTGTTTAATTACCTAATTTGTAAAATATTGTTTGAATTGCCTTTTTTGGTTTTAAGTAATAGTTATTTTTTCCCACAAAATTATATCTTGTCTTGAGTTCTTTCGATACCAATCCTCTGCAGCCCCTATAACATCTATGACTAACGAGTAACTTATGTATACCTAAATATATTGATAAATATTTGATGTAATAAATATACATATATGTATTTATTTTATGTATAAATATTGGTATTTGTTTACATTAGTGAGGGTCCCTAAAAATGCGAATTTTTGGTGGACTTAGCCTGAAAAATAGAAAAAAGGCAACATTTTCATGTTTACCTCTACGGAAATATACAAATAGTGAAAAAAAGTAAAAAAATGAAACAGTTCATAAAAAGTATAGGAAATCAAAAATTAGCAAGAGGAAAATGTTATCGAAATACGAAATAGTCGTAATAGTTATATAAAATGTATAAATTGGTAATACTTCTTAATAATTTACAATTGTTATTTTAATATTATTCAACCGTTTTTTCCTAGATAGACTTCAACTAAAATAATCAGACTTATCATTGAACTTTTGTAATTAATATAATGTAATGTCTTGATAATACCAAATAATATAAATGGGCTTATATACCATATAGGTACCTACCTAATTATTCTTTGACAATTCTGAACAAAGTTGTTGCTCAATAGTCCAGTCGTCAGAGAGTTGGAGTTGACCTCTAAAAATCATACGAACAAGCTGAATTTTGCAGAAAATATTAATTTTAGGACACCAAGAAGATGCAAAAAAGTTTATCACTTTTACATCTGGGCTTCCCCCTAAAACCCCCATATAGACGGTAAAAACGTGAAAAAATCGAGATTTACCAAGAATCTGTACACCAAATGTAGAGATAATTTTAAATAAAAATGCTGTTCTCTTAAAAAACAACGCTTGAAGCGACTGTTGATTTTGCACGTCAGTTACGCGCGCGAAATCATGTTCATCAATAAAATTTGTATCGGCTCACGACTGGACGGTAAAAATTCGATATCTTTTAATTAAAATGGCCTATCGACAAAAATCAAGATGAGTTTTAAAGCCAAAGAGTGCAGCTGCTTTCGTAGGTTTGCAGTTTTTGTATTTTGTCGAGAATAAATTCAGTTTTTATAAAGGTGTAAATAAATTAACGTGGCGCGATTTTTGCCATTTTTTACGATTCTCGTGAGGTCAATAAAATTGATCACTTTCATTGACCAGTTGTAGTAAACTTTTTATTTTTAGAGATCAATCTTTAAAACCGATGATATGAAATTTCAATTTTGAGTTGTGGTAACAAATATGAGGCATTTGAAATATTAATAAAAAACGCAGAATTTAATGTTTGACATTACAAACGATCACACGTCACGGAAAATATATTTAAGAAAACTGTTTTGGATGTAGATTATTGCAGTAGTTTTGTTCTTTGAAAAACGTACTAGTCTAATTGAAAAAAAAAAGTTTCAAATGTTTTAGATCGTTTGTTGTGTGAAAGTTTAAATCAAACGTTTTTTAAGCATATTTCAAATGCTTCACATTTGTTGTTAAAACGCAAAACTAAAATCTCATGCTAAAGCTTTTAAACTTTAGGCTCTAGTAATTCAAACGTGGCCAGTTAATGAAATGGATAGATTGTATTGATCTCGTGAGATTCATAGAAAATGGTAAAAATCGCGCCATGTTTATTTATTTAACACCTGTATAAACTCTGAGTTTCTTTGCGGCAAAATACACAAACTGCATATAAAATTTAAACTCTTTACCTATAAAACGCTTCTTAATTTTTGTCGATAGCTTACTTGAATTAAAAGATATCGAATTTTTACCGTCGAGCTGATACAAATTTTATTGAACATTGATTTCGAGCGCGTAACTGGCATGCAAACTCGACGGTCGCTTCAAGTGTTGAGAACGGTTCATTCTACACAAAAAATGCTTATAAATTATAAACATTTTTGTTTAAAATTATCTCAGCTACATTTTTTATTTGAAACATTTTTGCTACGGTGTACAGACTCTCTGTAAATTAATTTTTTTTGCGTTTTTACCCACCTGCGAGGAGGGTTTTAGGGGGAAGCCCGGGGTAAAAGTGGCAAACTTTTTTGCATCTTTTTTGGGGTTCCAAAATTAATATTCTCTGCAAAATTCAGCTTGTTCCTATGATTCTTAGAGGTTCGGCGGTATTTTCGTCTCTGATGACTGGGGTACAATATTTCTTATAGATTCTGTCTCTTATTCAAACATTGTTTTAATCTGCGTTGTTCCGTAGCTGTTATAATAAGATGTTATAATGTATTTTATTGTTGCAATTATTTTATTGTTTTACGATGAATAATATTCTCTCTCTTGTTGCTTTACGCTATTTTCCAGACATATTGCATATCTTTGTTTCCATCTTCTGATTACTAAAGACCCAGGTCTCAGGTCTATAAATTCCATTTCGTCCTTATTTCTAATCTCGATTTCAGCCGATCGCTTGAGTTATCAAATTGAATTGTTGAAGAATTTTGAATGCTGTTGTCTTCGTTTTGGACCAATAAACAACATAAGGACAAAAGGTGTTTACTTTTCTTTGTGTGATTCTGTTACGTTATATTAAATCTTTATTCTTTAGTTTGTTGATTGCCTCCAAAATTTGCTTCACGTCTACATTAGTCACAGAATAATAAACAATCAGAATGCCCACTCTCAGATGCCGCCTTTGAAGTTTTTCAGCACGCGCGCCATGTTTTAGAAGGAAACACATAACACAGACATATGATTTGTGAGGTTATGTAATTGTTTATATTTATGTTTAATTATATTATATTTATGTTATTATATTTAACAATGTTAATATAATTGTATAGTATGTCTATGATTGCCGCAAGTCAATTAAACCGGGTTAATTTTTCTATGCACACCACATAAACAACACTGGTTCCCTTTAAAACATGGCGGAACGTTCAGAGTGGGCATTCTGATTGTTTATTATTCTGTGCTTTAGTTCTTTTAATAGCAAATAAGCTTTGTTATAACATTTGGAACTTTTCAGTTACTGACAGTTAATATGGACGAATTCTTTTCTTGCTCGAGCTATTATTTTTGTAGGATTTCCACGTTTATTAAGCCTCGATCTTCCATAGGCTATTTCACTAATTATTCATGCACTGCCCATTGCTAATACATGTTCCGTAGTGCTATTCTTCTCTTTATTTCCTCCACTAAGTATTTCAACATCAGTAGTTTTTTTGTCGTATATGGGTTGAGTAATTACCTTGTTATTAAATAAAGTTGGTTTTAATGTCACAATAAATCCATAAGTGAATAAAAAATTCATGATACAATGAATTGCTTATTATATCCGAATACTGCCGATAGAAGATAATTTTTTCAATAAAATTTCTCAAAAAATGTTCGATGCTCTTACCACTTCGCCACCAAAACATTTACGCTTGGAACTTGTTTATTACTGGTGATCAGGAATCTAAGTATATAGGTACATTTATTTATGAACTTAAATGTGTAATTTTCCACGTTAATGTTTTTGTATTTATCTCTGTTATTCCGAATATATTTTATAACTGTAGTTTTTTCTTCTGTAAGTCAGAAGAACTCGAAAACCTTGACGAGGAAAGACAGAAACGCTTTAATTTTTCGGTCGGTACGAGGTTTAAAGTTGGTTCCTGATTGTATAACATAACCCAATATTTCTTAAGCGGGGCATTTACGTTCCGAGGATCCGATATCGGACCGTGAGTGGCTTGTTGGAAATCTATAGTGTATTTTTATGTATGAGAGAGTAATAAAACAATAAATTATGTATGCAAATCCCTAAACTGTTGATACGGATGACTCAATGAAAAACAGATATTTGTCAACAAGTTTACAGAAGTATATAGGAAAACAATTTTAAATTGAGTATGACCACCAGGTATAAAGGTTGGAGCAGAATAGAATACAATAGTTGTGAGTGATACTAATCCCTAAATAAGGTTGCCAGTGTCGGAGTGATGGAGGTTAACAGGTACTAATGAATTTGCAATAAATGTAAGATGTTTATTTTATTGGTTATATATAACCAATAAAAGTTTAATAAGTACCTACTTATTTGCAAAATAAAGTTTAATTCTTTAGATAAAATAAAACGTTTTATTTTATCTGAAATGAGTGCATTCCACTAAGTAAGGGTTTCAACAATCAAACATTTAATTCTTTAATTCCAGGAATCTACGACAGTAATTGACTAGATAATTACCTTCTAAACTTATTCCACAGAAGATGTGATAGTGGGTTTTTCCATTTTGTAGGAAGGTCCAAGTGTCGTATTCAAAATTCTTAACAGTTCACTAAAAGTAGGTACTTCAGTTGCAAGGTGCAGTTTATTGTGTATACTAGTGTTATGGAAAATTTGGAAGTGCCGTGTAAACGCCGAAAAATTGGTCCTTTAACAGTCCTTTAACAATGAAAAAACATTAATATTTAATTGTTTTAAATCATTTACAGACAAACGTTTATGTGAAAGTGTTGATGAGACCGTTGAGTTAGTTAGCAGTACACTTGGTGTTGGGAAATCTACGATTTACAGAGTTATTAAAGAAGAGAAATGTGGTAGTTTTCAAATGCCACGTAATGCTCCAGGGAAACCAAAATTTCAAATAGAATATCATTTTAAAGAAGGACTTCGACGGAAAGTGCATGAATTCTTCTTTAGACAAGAATTTCCAA